CACGTTACGAAGAGCATACTCCGGATCGAAGACGTTATTCTCTTCCGATATGCTGCCGTGAGAAAATGCCCAGATGGCACCAAGAAGACCGACGTAAAACAGCACGGTGCGGTCGTGCGTGATCTCAAAGCTGAGAAACATCTCGGGGTCTATCAGAGATGCGATGGCCAGCACAGTAACCAAGGCTCCTGCTATGAAAGCAACGGTCCTGAAGACCATCTCCGTCTTGACCTTCGGAAACTGGTCGATATAGTGGGTGGCGAATGGGTGCGACATGTTGAGTCGCTTCTCAAACAAGTGCGGAAGCTCGTTAAACTCTCGGAACTTCCATTTCGCAAGGGGCGTGTATGATCGTGCCGAGATCGCAGACGGGTTCTTTTGGTATTCCTGCAGGACGAGATCAGCAACCATACCCCCAAATGACGCCCGTAGGTTCGACATCTTACCTGGTAGTACGTGAGGAAGTACACAATGATCAAGTAAGCAACAATGAACGGGGCCATAACCAGATTCATGACGGCTGCAAACAGGAACCTCTGCCTCAGTTTTGTGCTCATCTCCGCGCGTCGATCTGCCCTCAAAAACTGGGGGTTCACCTGCCCCCTCTCGTCGAAGATGAAGTCCAAGACGCTGAACATGAGAGCCCATTCTAACGTCTGTGACAAAAGCTCCCTTGAGCCCAGAAATGGCACAGGGAGCTTGAGATCCAGGACTTCCTTGTTGAACAGGGCGATGAGATAATTCTCTCGTCGCATGAGACGATTCGCAATGTCGGACGCGTCGAGCCTCTCTTTCGATTGGCTCCCTATGTATTTCTTCGCTTCCGGTGTCAGATGGGCTGCGGTTTTCGGGTTATGGTCGCGCAGCGCCATGATTCGAGCAACAACGTCCTGCCAGGTTACGGTCTGCATGTCGTCCTCTGGAATATTGAGGAGATAGGTGTAGAAATCCCGGATGATGAATAGCCGCCGGAGATCTGTAATGTAGGTGATAAGCTTGAAAATGAAGTAGAAGGTGAACAGCCAGAGACCGAGGTTCCATAAGCCGGACATTTTCTGTGTACACTGAGGTACCAGGATGTCTGACATGGTCTTGCTGCCTCGAATCTTGCCGTAGTTGATACATTGTGTCATGAATGTGAGGAACACGGCGACGAATGCCACGTTTCTGTCCTATATGTCAGCTATATCCCAAGGACACAATAGGCGGAGACACTTACACCAAGTGCAGAAATCTCTCAAGGAGAATGCACCAGAAGCCGCAGCCCTGATAGTATGCGTAGACGTCATGCATAAAGTTGTCAAGGTTGGACACGTTAGCCCACCTCCAATCTGCCTTCTTCCGAGCATCACCGCCGAGGGCTTTAGCCATAACCGCTCCGGGACGAGGTGCGTGGCTCCGGCCCGAACTGTCCTCGCGGTGTAGCCTCTGATGTGCCTGAGTGGCCTCCCACTGAGAACGAGTTTTCCTTGTAGACGGGCCGGGTATGGCTGGCTGGCGCCCATCGCCCTTTTTCCTCCTCTGTCCTGCATGTGTGGCGTCTAGCATATCGTGAGGCTCGACTAGGAGAGACTCGGGCACGTCGTTGTTGTCCACCTCTTCATCATGGCCAAACCACTTGTTGTGCCCGGGGTCACTACTGGGCACGTGGCTCGAAGGTCCAGCTCTTGCAACCTTTCTTGCCCCCGGCGCTAGCGACCGTCGGCTGTCGTCAACGCCGAGACCTTCGACATTATCCAGATCGTAGTCGTGAAACTGGTGGTTGAGGTTCTCTTCGTCAAGGAGGCCGGCCCGGTCTTCGATGTCTTCGCTGTCGTTCCTTGCTCGGAGGTCGTCGTAGAAGGACCGAGCTCCCCCGCCGGGGATCAGCTTGGAGAACATGTTGGAGGTCATGGCGGAACTCGATGCTCGTTATCTTGGCCAGCAAGAGGGTCGATCATGTCAGTCCATAGCTGACTGGAGAGGGGGAAGACGCCCAAGTCGGAGAAATTCAAGGGAGGGTTGTCGCGTGGGTATTGATAGATGTGATCGGTGTGTACCAGTTCGCTATTTCGATCCAGCTAATGCAGCTGACACGATGCTTTCCTGGGAAGATGGGTATTGTGAGAAGGATATGGAATCTTCACCAGAAGTAACCAAGAGATGCGGTTGATCTTAGAATTCAGTCTTAAAGCTGTACATAAGGTACACTGGCGGCGGGTGCCAGGTCAAAGGAGAGTTTGGAGTCATGTGTGGTTGCCTTCTCCGAGGCAGCTGATTGCACCGGCAGGCGCGCGCTGCGTCCGATGACGCTTATCGTAATCCCTGTTCAACCCCAGCATTATCTTATCGTTAGCGTGGAAGATGCCAGCTGGCAAGCAGACACGGACAACCTGGAACTAGGTTGCTCCCCCCAACAGTCATCGAGGCTAGAAAGGTGTAAATATAGCAGATGAAATCACATCTTCGTTGTGTTTGGGCTGGCATATCTCTTAGGTTCGGTTGGTGAGGAACATGGAAGTGTCTCACACGTGTTACAGAAGATAAAATGGCTTCTAACTCGGCTCCCCCACCATTGACCTCTTTACCATCCTTCAAAGATGTGCCTCAGTCACCGCAAGTGCCGGCAACCCCAGGGACACCGGGGACTCTGCGGACCTTGAACCCCTTTTCCTCCAAGGTCACCGCCGTTCTTTCGACTTCTTTCGCCGACTCGGACTTTCGTGATGCCTTGTCCTTGCTTGATGAGCGGGGTCTGGTCAATGCTGCCGACACGCGCCGCCAGTTGAGGCTTGACCTTCAGAAGGAGCTCATCGACAGCAATGGCGATATCATCAACCAGTTTGGGAAAGTTGCCGATGTGAGTGAGATATCTGGAATAACGATGACACTTTCGGCTTTCTGACCCAGTGTTCAGCAACTGCGGAGGATAGGCAACACCATTGGCAGACTCAATGCCAGTTTTGCCGACATGAAGACTCAGATCGCCGCAGCTCATGAGGCGACTGATCCAGTCATCAGCGAAGCCACGTCTCTCATAACCCAGAAGAGCCAGGTTGAAACCAGGCAGCAACTTCTGAAATCCTTCAACGAGCACTTTGTGCTTTCAGAAGACGAGGTGGCCGTCCTGACTCTGACATCCGAGCCGGTAGATGAAAGGTTCTTCAGCATATTGTTCAAAGCGAAGAAGATCACCAAAGACTGTGAGCTGCTCCTAGGCTTCGAGGACCAGACACTCGGCCTTGACATCATGGAGCAGACCTCCAAGCACGTCAATCTTGCGTTTCAGAAGCTCTATCGCTGGATCCAACGCGAGTTCAAGACGCTTAATCTCGAAAACCCGCAGATAGGATTTTCTATTCGACATGCACTACGTGTACTCGCCGAGAGGCCCTCTCTGTTCCAGAGCTGCTTGGACTACTTCGCCGAGGCTCGCGAACATATCCTCTCCGATGCGTTCCACACCGCACTGACTGGCGCTTCACCATCTGGCGCGGAAGACCCATCCGTAAAGCCCATCGAGCTGGTGGCCCACGACCTCCTCCGATATGTCGGAGATATGCTTGCCTGGATGCACTCGGCAGCAGTCGGCGAACGAGAGGCATTGGAGGTCTTTTTCGTCTCCGAGGGCGGGGAGATTGCGAAGGGAATCCAAGAAGGGCGGGAGAATGAAGTCTGGCGTCTCGTTGCCGACGAGTCAGAGGAGGTGGACTTTGATCCAGTCGCAGCTCTGAACGAGCTGGTCGACCGTGACATGTCAGGCGCGGCGCGCATCCTGCGGCAGCGAGTCGAGCAGGTGGTGCAGACCAACGAGGAGACCATCTTGGCATACAAGCTGGCCAATCTGCTCAACTTTTACCGACAGACATTCAGCAGACTACTGCCCGGAAAGTCTGTCCTCGTCGAGGCGCTCAGCAACCTGGAGTCTGAGGCCATGCGGCAGTTCCGCTCGTTGATGCGGGATCACATTGCGACCCTGCAGGGAGATTTCCAACACACGCCTGCCGACCTCGGTCTACCAGACTTCCTCCATGATGCCCTAGATCAGCTCAACGCCATCATGAAGACCTATGATACGTCTCTCACATCGTCAAGCAATCGGGAGGCTGACTTCCAGCCCATACTGGCAGAAGCACTTGACCCCTTCGTCGACGGCTGCAAGAATGTGGCAAGGGGTCTCGACAGTCCGGACGACTCGATATTCCTGATCAACTGTTACGAGACAACAAGAGACCATCTCTCTCGCTTCGATTTCACACAGGGCAAGGTCAGCGAATTGCAGGCGAAGGTGGACGCCGAAGCGCACAAGCTCAGCCAGAGCCAGTACTTGTTCCTGCGGACGGAGTCAGGGCTGGATGGGCTGATGAATGATTTACTACCGTTGGAGAACACAAGTGACGATGTGGCGAAGATCAAGGGACTTGAAGCATTGCAGGCGCCAGCCTTGACCCAGGCAAGCCAGGCGCTCGACGACTTCCTGCCTTCGGCGCTGATGGATGCGATGGAGAACTTGAAGCGGTTGCTGGATGCAAGACTTGCAGCGGAGATTACGGAGGACGCTGCGGAGAGGTTCTGCGCCGACTTTGAGCATGTTGAGGAGATGCTGATGTCGGCGGATGAGGTAGCAGAGCAAAACGAGGAGGAAGAGACGCAGAGCTTGCGGGCACTGTTCCCGAGGACGTCTGGGGAGATACGTGTGTTGCTGTCGTAGATACCCAGCAATTATCCAAGACGGTTCACGTCCAGAAGTTGTGTATTTGACCAAGTGAGGCTCGTCTTGAACATCTTTCGGGCTGGAATCTCATGAAGAGCGACAATGCAACTGCCTGCTGGATCGGCAGTTCATTTTCATTCTCGTCCTGCTTCCTGCATAACATGACCTGCTCCGGCCCGGATCAGCGGTTTAATGCCCCTGTTGGAGCTCCCGGGTGTCCTCCGGCACCCTCCCCCGCTGCGGTGGATCGCTCTAGGGCAGAAAAAGTGCAAAAAGAAATGCCTAGAACGAGTCTAGCGGCGCTTGATGGCCCTGCCGTGAATCGAACACGGGTTGCATCGGAGAGTAGACAGTGAACCACAACGATGAGTCTTGACCACTGGACCACAGGACCTTGATTTGCTTGTTGTTGATCCCTCGTAACCATGCTGATGAAGTGCTCGCCTTCGGTTTATTGCTGCAACGTTTCCCAACGAGCTAGAATTCGCAGTTCGACAGCGTTTGAAGCTATTCACACGCTCTTGAAGGCTTTCAGCAAACGAGGAAAGAACTGATTGACTTTGGCCTCGGGTTCCTTCCTCTTTCACTTGGAGGCGTCCCACCCCCACATTAAGCTTTTCCTCTTGCCGTGGATTCGGGAAGCCATCAACAGTCACTTTTGGGAAGGAACTTTCTCGTCTCTGCATTCAACCTGGAACTCTTTGTTTCCGCACTCAATTCCTAGCTCCACTCCTGCAACATCAACACTGCCACTGTTTTATTTTGAAGCCCATCGCCACTTTAATCCACCATCAACACAAACATCTCACAATCACAACACAACAACGACACAATGGCCCACCTCCAAAAACAAGCAGCCATCTTCTCCCCAAGCGTCGCCCGCGCCGCCGCCTCAGCAGCAAAAGACTGGTCCGCGGTCGACAGCTGGCTCGCATCGCGCCTGGGCGGCCGCGCACCGCCACCCTTCGAGCGCAACCCCGACACATTGCGCGTGTTGCTCGCGCTGGTAGCAGCCAACGAGTCCGCCGACGAGGAGCGCGACGTCCTTTCCCGCGTTGAGGCGGATGCACTCGCCGAGATTGAGGCTGCGGAGGAAGCTCATCGGCGGGATGAGGGCGAGGGCGAGGGGGGAATAGAGACTGTCAGAGAGGAGATACTGGGTATGATCGAGGACAGCCTACCGAGGGAAGGCAGGCAGGCGCTGGACGCGCTTGCTTCGAGCGCTGTTGAGCTGGGACTGTCGCGCGGCCGTGTTGATGCAGCTACTATCGCGCGACGGCTCGCGGAACTGCAGGCGGAGATTTTTACCCTCTCTCAGGATGCGGACAGAGTGGCCATCCTCCGCCGGTACATCGATTCCGAGTGCGCGCGTATGCAGGCCGCGGTGCGCGAGATGCGCGACGGGGAGAGCTACCGCCCGCCGCCGGACCTGGCGAAGCAGAATCTCGAGATCCAGCGACGCGTTAAGGCTGCTGTTGCTGCGCTCCCGAAGAAGGGGAGGCCTGAGAGTGGACTTGAGGGTGGTGGTGGTCTTACGGCCGAGCAGGTGCGGGAGGAGGAGGAGGAGTTTCTTGCTTTGCTGGCGCGGAGGAACGAGCTGGATGCCCAGGTGAGGAGTTTCCAAGGGCTGCCGCCGGATACGGATGCTGCGAGGCGGGAGTTGGAGAGGTTACGTGACGAGCTGAGACATGTCACGAGGCGGAGGGATGCGGTCTTTGAGGGCCTGGTCGAGCGGGAGACGCCGAGGAAGCCGATGCGTTGAGGGGCAGCAAGCAGCATGATCGTCTAGGATGAAAGACGGTGTATTATGCAGTTTTCTCTACTTGGAGGGTCCATGGGAGTCGTAACCTGTGCACCAATGAATGCTATACGATAACAGCCCAACACTACCATAGTCACTGCTGATTCCGCTTTCCTCGCCCGGAAACAGCACCTCCAAGTCTTCCAAACTGCCTCCCCAACCCCGACCGCGGCTTAACGGCAGGCACGGCAGGAGTCGGAAGATCCTTGGATGGCACAGGTGGCCGTACGCCCTCCTTCGGCGCCGGTCCTGTCTTCTCGAACCCTTCCGACAGCCGCAGTTCACCAACCCCCAGCGTCGAGCTATCGTCAAGGTCGCCACCCACGCGTTGGGCTCGCCTGGCGCGCTCTTGTACGCTGCGGAACTTCTCCAGCAGCTCGTTCCACCGGATGATGCCATCCTCGCGGCCACCCTTGAGCCTATTCGGCCGGTCGTAGGTCGAGCTTCCCGGCGTCGTCGCGCTGCTGTGTGGCGGGATGTGAGCGTCATGCCCTGCTTTGCGCGGGGAGGGAATCTGGGAAAACACGGTGGCCATCGTCTCAACCACAGAACCTTGCTGTGGCCGGGACGAGGGCAGAGAAAGAGGAGGCACGTACGGTCTAGGCGCTATATGGAGGTAGCCTATCGAGCTCACGCTGTTGAGTCGGTTCTTCAGCGCGGCGAATGCTGACGACTGCGGAAGGAGCATCAGCAGCCCGTAGAGGCATTTGTAGAGATGCGGGTATTTCTCCGGTTCCAGGAGTTGTAGGCGGAGATCTAAATATCGTTAATCGATGAGCAATAAATATGGGCCTTTGGCAGAAGAAAGGGGCCTACAAGTAAAGACTGGCGACTCGAGTAGCTGGACAAGCTTGTCTATCTGTATCAGGATGTTCACCGTCATCTCAAGCTCAGCGCTATGACACGAATTAGCAAAAATCACAATGGGCCTCGAAGATGTCGAGGGGTCATACAAAATCAGTAGCAGGTTGTACGCTTGCTCGTAAGCCTGCGCCAGTAGACAGAGCGAGAATGTCGCCACCGCATTATAGCACCATGACCGAAACAGTGCTACGAAGAATGTCTGGCCATCCTGTTGTTCCAGTGTTAGCTATTGCGCACAAACATCCCATGCTCAGCAAACCACCAACCTTGGTCTCCAAATTCCTGAGCCGCTTCCGCAGCTCCGAGAGCTCAGGGGCTGTGATAAGATTATTGTTCAGGTTCTGCACCATAATACTAGCGAATTCGAGATCCTCTTCCTTCTCGATGCAGTCAGCAAGAGTCCTGTAGATCCTCTCGGCACTCAGGCTCATGCACAGCTGCCGGATGATCAGGTTGCCCCTGGTCTCCAGCAGCTTCCTGTCCGTCGAAAACAACTGCAAGAGGTTCACCATGAAGTTCGTAAAGTAGTCATCCTCGCTGTTTCTCGAGATCTGCGACAACAGCTGTAGATCTCTCGTGACTACTGCTTCCGAGGGATCGGATAGCGTCTTGAGTAAGGCCGGGAATGTTCCATCGTTGAAAGCCAACACCTTCCTCGGCGCCTTGCGATGCAGCATGATAAGCCATGTCAGTGCTGCCACCCGAGTGGCCTCGTGATCGTTCAGGAACAGCAGTGTCAAGGAGTTGACGGCCGCTGCGTAGTCCAGATCGGCTTGTGGGTTGGGTGACTGGGAGGGCGGAATTGGCGTCGCATTGCTCGCTCTGTTTTGGGCTGGCGTCGGACTCCGCACCTCCAGATCCCTAGAGCTAGATAGCGAAGCTCGAGTGCTCGATGCACCATCGGGGCCCGGAATCCTAGACAGGGGTGCCATTGGGACAAGCTCGGGCTCGTCGGAAAGCGATACAACATAATCCATCAGTGACGTGTTGACCCTACCGGCGGCTTGGCGAATCGACTCGACGCCGCTAGCCATAGCCGGGAGGAGATGGGCAAGTATCTTGGGTGTGAACGGCAGGACCTCCTCTGGGCAGATGTCCAGGAACTCGACAATCCACCGCAATGATTCGAGTAAGCCATCTTCTTCTAGAGCACCGCTTAGCAATCCTGCATCACGCGTAACGGAGGGCTCGTTGGGGGGTGATCGGCACAAGCGAGGCCGAGACCTACCTAAGGGAGAGTCGAGGGTGGCGGTGAGGATCTCGAGGATGGCCTTATAGTTGATATGCACGTCCTGACCGGGCACCCAATCATCCTCGCTGCTGGCATCGTCGTCATCGTCATTCGCGGCGGAGTCGATCTCGTCTCCTTCCTCGAGTGGCGTATGGACGCTGGCGCTGTCGACCGAGTCTTCCCTCTTGCGCTTACCGTCGCCTTTGGACTTCTTGCTCTCGGCAATACCTTTCTTGACGCGGGATATCCGCTTGATCTCGTTTAAGAACTTATCCAGACAACCCTGCGTGGCGACGTGGACGTCGCGATTGGTGTCACTCAGAAACCTGAGCAGACCACCCAAGAACTCGGGCAAGAAAGTGACCAGCTCTAGGTCCGGAATCGAGTCCAGGAGTATGATCCAGCCAACCAAAAAGGTCCTCGTGAAAGGGTTCAAGGCAAATATCCGCTCCTTCAGCAGCGGAATGAAACGCTTCAGAGAAAAGGCGGTGGGGAGGGCCTCTTGGGCTTCCAGCCGTTCCTTATCACCGGCGTCATCGTCAAGTACGGGTGTCTCCAAGACGGACACGTAGGTGGCGGCCGATTCCGACACAATGTCCTTGATGAGCCGATCAAGGAGCTCGGCACCATTTTTGACCGAGAGCTCAGAATCAGCGCCGAGCTACGGCGAATCAGAGATCAAGAGCTGAGTGAACCGGACCATCAAGTACCGGGATATAGGGGGGCAGGGAACAGTGACGTACCTTGCAAAGGGCATCGAATATGTGGTTGAAGTAAACCAGGATTTCGCCTTTAGCTACTTTTGCGATGTTGTACATAGCCTCACACGCATAGTACCGAACGCGGGCATCCTGGTCCGAGAAGCACGCAAGCACTGGTGGGACGATGGCTTCGAGGTATTTCGGCAGTTCCTGCGGACAGATGTTGGTATGCGTCCTGGGAAATCAGGGACCGAAAACAGGAAAACGCATGGCTCAGAACCTCGATGCAAGAGGGATTCCCATGACAGAAGCGTGCGGTTACACCCGCAGCTCGACAAGGAGAAGTAGACGAAGGGAATGAGTGAGTACTCACAGATCCAAGAGCAATAGCCGCGGCAGCCAAACCTATCAGGCCACCGTTTCGCGCATGAGGTTGGTGGACAGCGTATGCATAGTCATTACAAAGCTGGTCGATGATGGCCGCGACCCTGGGATAGTCTTTCGCAGCGACGAGCTCGCGGATAACGCGTTCGAGTCTGTAAGCGAGAATCAGGTGTGAGTCGATGAGTGCCCAACGACACCACCACCGGGTGTGTTCAGCCCAGAGACGGAATACGGACCAAAAAGGGGGCCGTGGCATAGCACACCGGGTTTGGAGAGGGAAGTAAGAGAAGAGAGAGAGAGATGTCTACGTACTCTAGAGCTCCAACTTTCCTCTTGTCATAGAGCTTGTCGTTGAGATGCCGTTGGATGTTAGGGTCCATGGTGATAAAAGGGGTTAGACCTGGCGGTCTGAA